ACATATTGGCAATAAAAAAAGATTCATGTTTTTATTATGCTTCTCAATGGCTATTAACACAATTCAGTAGAATCCCAGTTTTTTTTTTCTTCAGCTTTTGCTTCTTCGCTCATAAATCATTTGCGTTTTAAAATTAAAAAACAAATTAGATTTTTTATTTTACTGATATTTAAAAAATCAAAAAAAAAAAAAATCTTTTCAGAAATAGCTGTTTCGAACAAAAGGAAAAAAAAAAAACTCATTACTTTTTTTTTTTGCAGCAATTAATATTTAAGGTAGTGAAAAAGCAAAAGAGAAAAAAAAAAAGAAAAAGGCAAAAAAAATTTCTTTTTTTTTATAAAACCAAAATTGTAATTTAATTTTTAGGCAGAAAAGAAAACTGAGAGTAAAAAAAAAAAAGCAAAAGATTTTTTGTTTTCTTCTTTTTCTTTTTTTTCTTATCTTTTAGTAATTGAAAAAAAATTGTCTTTATGTTTGATCTACAAAAAAAATTTGCTTGGAAAAAACTATATGAATTATATATCCATTTGTTCACCCATTCACCCACTGATACATTTGTACATCCATTCATCCAGTCATCGATCTGTCCATCTTTGGTCTGTTCGACCGTCTATCTGTTTCCTCGTCTACGCATCTCACCATCTTTCCGGTTACTAATTTTAGAGTTTTTCAACTTTTTTTTCTTCTTGTTTAGAACTACTAAGCTTTTATCAACTTTTTTTTTCATCTTTCTTTATCTGATTAAGTTTTTTTTTTTTTTGCAGCAAAAGTTCATCAAAGTACTTTGGATAAACTGGAAGTGAGAGGATGGGGAATGGGAAGGAGGAAATGAATAAAAAAAAGCTAAGAAAAAAAAAAGATAATGATACAAAGCTTGACTAGACACCAGTTTTCAAGGATTGTCATTCTAATTGATATCCCGGCTTAAACTAATTATCACTGTATTGTTGTTGAACGTCAAGAGGGAGAGTGCTTTAATACTACTGATAGCTTTTCGTGCTAATTACTGTCTGTCTAATCAAATTCTACCACAGCCTTTTATTCATTATTTCAACTGTTGTTATCATTCACTTAATTCTATAATAAAATCATGACTATAAAGCAAAAAAAAAAAAAAA